GCAGCCACTACCGTCGTTGACCTTCGCTCTTGGTGCATCAGGCACCCATAAACCACGTTTTGACACACTCTGTGCCGCTCATTTGCACTCCACTGGACCTTTTTTGTCCCAGTCACTCCGCACAATTCGCACCTTTTGGCGCTGTCGTGCCTGATTCACGACCACTCGCCACGCTCCAACCAGCTACCGATCCTCCTTACCGACCATTCGCCGCGTGGTGATCTTCGTACTTCAGGCACTCGTCGTTACCACCCGACAGCGACCTCCACACTTCAACCCGCACGTCGTCATCACCGGTCGGCGTCGCCGACACTCTATTACAAGATGTTCCACTCGCCATAACATTAGCGACAGGCTCGGCCGTCGAGCTAGACGTTGTGTCAACAGAATCCGTCTCGTTTCGACGCGAGCATTCCTGGTGTGTCAGTCTTTCCACGATTCTTCGCTTGAACTCACGCATTGACATTCCAGGTGGATCGGGCTTCTTCAAACAGCAAAGCAACCCGTACGCATTTAGGTCGCATAGGTCTAAAGCCCACGTAAAAATTGTCATCGTAAGACGTTTTCCCGTCGCTGTGTGCGATTTATGCTCGGCACTGGATCCACTCGGTCAACACTGTTCAAATAAATATTATCCCCGCGACAACTGCTGGTGCCCGAAATATGCTCCTGTGCATGACTTCACTACCTGTCCATCGATTCAATGGTGCCAGTTCATGAACACATTTAAGTGGTTCTTCACTACCTTGGCATTGGAAAAGCTTTGTTGGCGTTTTCGCCAAATCATTCGTATAGAAAGCAACAACTTGTTTGTCCTTGAAAACAACATACCCAGCACATGGAGCAAATCTGAGTGGGGCTTTGAATTCTGTCCGATTTCCACGTGCAATTCGCTGTTGGGCTTGCATATGTTGTGTACGGAGATCTTTCCACAGGCTCAATTGCTGCCACCAATTTCCACCCTCCACGCATTACTTGTCCAACGCGTGCCTGTGAACCCGTACGCCTGGTTATTCCAGGCATCAATCAGGTTCAGTCGAACCGTACCAATCATCCGGATTTCCCATCAGTTAGCTTCAGAATGGCACTAGCTAGAACGTGTCGAGTGTAGAAGTTGTCACAAACAACTAATCGCCTTCCAGACGGTGAACACAAGCTGTGCGTTCGGTGCCCAATTATTGCTGCCCAAACGGACGATGGCTTTTCAAATTTTAAAACGATTCCAGGTTGGCGAGATGTGGTCCTCAAAGCGGTTCTGAGCTTAGGAAAAGACTCCATGTAGCGCTGAGCAGGTGAGAGAGTTGAGACCAACCCAGAACTATTATTCTGGAAAGTGTGAATGTATAGAGGCGACTTGCCACCGCATAAAAGCGAATCGCGTATTTATCCGGTTTTGACGGCATGTACGATTTTGCTTTTGTTCGTGCAGTCGTTTGAACTGATGGTTCATCCGATGCTGACACGCCATGAAATACTAC